ATAAAACCCCATGTTGCAAAACTATTCTTGTTAGCGCACTAACAACTTCAACCAATGAAAACCAATTCTCATGCAACTAGCAACTTACAGGTAACATCGGAATTACATTGAACAGTCAATTTGTATGTGGCCTGGCACTATTCCCAATCCCAACTGTAACTTGATATAGACCTTCAACCAGAAATCTCCAAAGTCCAGTTTGTTGTCACTTGTCTTAAGTTTTCATTTATTTATTATTTTATTCTTTTTTGGTTAAGTGTGTGGTTGCTTATGAAGATCCCATTTCACAGACTTCATTGCCAGTCATAAAAACAAAAGAATGAGATAAAAATCCCTCACCATCCCCTTTTGTGTGGGTGTTCCAATCATAGGCCCTTCTAATTCAGCAGATATTTCTGCAGTTTCTCAGCCACATGAAGCTGTTGGTTGACTGATTTCAAATCATTAAATTATTGAAGCCCTGTGTCATTCATTTTTTCCCCTCACAAGTTTTCTCCATATCTGTGATGCTTCTCAGCATGCCACAGCTATTCAATTATCAAAATTTGACACTCACCAGACTATTTTTTTTTTGTTCACTGACATACTGCAACTAGCAGACAACTCTCCACTTTCTATTCTAAGGAGGTGAAAAGACCTTTTTTGATCTAGCTCCTCCTGAAATTTGATGGTCACCACTTTTAATGATATCTTAGACACTGAGCAATTGTAAATATAAGAGACAATTTGGAAAACTTTTGATGAGTTTTGCTGTTCATCATCAGAAAAATAGACTTTTTTCTAAAAAAAAATCTACATCAGAGAGAGAGAAAAATCAGGATTTAAAATACTTTAATATAACTCATGGTTGGTAATTTTTTTTATTGTGATGACAACTACAAATTATCTTGAGTTAGCCACAAGTTACCTTGTGCTTACCATTTTCGGATACATTTTCATTTGTGGGCACCAACAACAGGTTTATTTGCAGTGATACTTTTAGTGTGAAAACAATGTTAAGACTTCAGCTGAAACTATAAAACAACTAATAAAATTTTTTTTATTGCCTGAGTTGGCTATTATAAAGTAAGTCAGATTTTGTAATTGACCTCCAGCAATCAATATGTTAATCATACAAATGCTAGATTTTTACTTTAACAGCATTATTTTTTTAAAATAGATTTCACTAATTCTAAGTTTTTAGAAAATTTATTTCCGTATATTTTTTCTTTAAGTTTTCCGATTTCATACAGTTTCAGCACCAGTTTAGTAAGAACGATGATGATCTGAAGTAGCTTGGTCATATAATAATAGCAGGGGATTTGTAGATCATGGCACTTAAGGTTTTTAACAACTAACTTTATTCTTCAATATGAAAAGTTCTCTCTTAGAACCATTCTACAGTTCAGGGCTTACCATTTATTGTTGTGGGGGTGGTGGGGAGAAAAGAGCAAAGGAATGTGCAAGTGAATTAGCAGGTTGGAGTCTTGCTTGTTATTGGAATCAACCACAATCTTAAGGATTTTGTGATTCCTTCTTTTAAATTCTACTCTCCACAGTTCTGATAAAATTTTACTTGATCATAATAAGCACTTCCTAAATAATTTAGTCCAACCTGAAACATAATGCAACTAGGGAAATAAGCTGCATTTATGAGGTCTTTATAGACTTAAGACTTGGGCCAGCATGAAAATTAGAGTAATGTCCCTGAGCACTTTTTTTGGTTCTTATCATTGTCTTGATTTATTTCCCATAGATATTTAGCACAAAGGATTTTTGTTTAGGTAGGGGTCAGTCTTTTCTTTTTGGCTTCTTTGTATGGGTAAAATAGGTGTTGGTACTTTTCCATCACTGATTACATTGTTTAATAAATTCTATATTTATTTTAATCAATGCACCCTAAGCAAGAAGACAACATCAAAACAAAGGATAAACCTGTTCAAAAGTCTGGAGAGGACTGTGACATAAATGATAAGTGACCCCCCCCCACCATATATATAAGAGAGAGAGCAATGGTAATCTTAAGCAGTGTCCTTGTAAGGAAACATTTGGCATTCATTGACTAGACAGCCAATGTTACTTTCAGTTGAAATTTATAAAGTTTTTCTCTTAAAACAGGTTTCTCAAATCCACTGTTATTGTTATTGCTCTTTCCAGTATTGATGGGGGCTTCCTTTCTAACCTTTTGCTTGAAAGGTGTGGAATGTCAAGATCCTTATTATGTCATTATTCTCTCTTCGAGCTACATTTGCCATCCATTTTAGTTGTTGCTGCTGTTGAAAGTCCTCAAGTGATGTGGTTCCTGGTACAGTTGTTTGTGATTCTTTAGCACCAATCCATGAGCTTCAAAAGAAGGATAGTCCTTACTAAGACCTACCATTTTTAACCATTCATATTAAGCAGTTTTATACAGCTGACATTTTAGATATTTCTGAATGAGTTTGGCAGAAAGCATGACATCTATATGAAAGTTTCGATCTCGCAAAGCTATTTAAGAACATGACAAGTTTTTTACTTAATTTTTTAGTTTTTTTAGTAATTTAGTATTGTCAAAACCCCCTGGCACAGCCTGTTCTATTTTTAAATTTTCTTATCTCCTATACTAAATTTATTCAGACTTACAGCCACATTACATTGAAACACTATGATCACTAAAGTTAAGCAATGTTGAATCTGGTCAGTACTTAGATAGGTAACTGCCTTGGAATACCAGGTGGTGTAAGCTTGAATATGCAGGTAGTGTAATGGATAATGACTGAATTGTTAATCGGAGAGCCGAGTTCCAATTGGGTTCATTATATTCACTTACACACAAATACCATTAGGAAAAGTATAAGTTCTTTGATTCTATGGTGCCAGTCCACAAGGTTTGAAGACAGACAACCCTCACCGAGACCTACAGGTTTCATTTTGTCAAAACCATTTTTAACCATTGATCTGAGTAAGCGGTTATATAAAGCCAAGGGTTTAGATATTTCTGAATGAGTTTGGCACCAAGCATGGCATCTATATGGAAGTCTCAATCTGGCAAGGCTATTTAAGAACATGAAAGATTTAGGTTAATGCATTGGTAATTTGCAGTGTTACATGAAACCACCTCTAGTGCAGCCTGTTCTATATCATTTGAAATTACATAAGTGATACAGACCCTGCATCACACACACAACAAAAGTTAGATAAAGACTGCCAGTGGGCAATCTTTCTGTCAAGCATTGATAAATAAGATCAAAGTTAACTTTTGTAACCCACGTCAGAATGCTGTTGTTTTAACAATGCTCTTACTTTTGGTAAACAAACTAAAAGTATTAAAAAAAAATAGTTCCATATCCACCCACAGAGATCCAAATGTTACCATTTGGTAACAGTTTGCACAAGGTGGCATCTAATCAAAATTATTCATTCTGTCTTCAGCTTTTGTTAAGCTACCATAAAAAAATAAAATAACAGATACAAGACGACCCCCCCACTTACAGTCTCCAAACTTTTCATCTAAAGGCTTTGATCTCACCATATTTCTTTATAGTAAAATTCTGTTCCTTTATTTCTTGTGTCTCCATACAACTTAGTAAGAGGATAAACATTTTGTGCTATGACATCCCACCATCTATTTAGATAAACTTGTCAGAAAGATTCTTCATCGTTTGCCCTCTCTTGCTTTCAATATATCCTGGAATGTTAAATTCTCCAAACCTTCTTTCCTCCTTGTGTGTCCCAGAATTTTCAACTTTCTCTAATCCTAACTATCCTTTTTGTTTCCATTAAAACTTCCTAAGTACTCCCATGTTCCCTCTAAGGTATTCTTAGCATCCTTCTGTAAAACCACATTTCTGTTGCCTCAAGTCTCTTATGTCCAACATTCACTGCCATATGAGAGGATTGATATTAATAGCAGTTCTGTACTTCTTTGTATCTAACAATTTTCCTGCTTGTTCATACTTTGTTTAGCTTTGAGAAGGCACCTTCTAATGTGCCTTTGAATTTGGGGTATGCAATGTAAAGTTCATTATATCAATGTGAATAGCCAGAAAATATGAAGCAGAAAAATCCTATTCTAATATTACCAAAAAAAAAAAAAAAAAAATCAATGAAACTGGAAATTAAAAACTATTTTAACCATAAAAACTGGTTAACTTACAATAATAACCGTTTCAAATGTACACAACAGATAGAACTTAAGGAAAGCAATAAGCTGACAAGACAATATAGTTAAGATTTTAAGGTTTTACAAACAAAAAAGGTTTTGCCCCTTCTCAGTGAAATGGGGCGGGGGGGGGGAATAAATTGACTGGTTACTGTTCTTGCTTATATAATTTTTTATTACTATGGATATTGTATTGTAATGTATTTGTTAAAAAAAAATCTCATACCTACTCAATGAAATTGAGTTCTACCAATCCTTGCAATGTTAAATGTCTTGAACTCATTCCTGACTTGCAATGTTAAAAGTTCTGAATTTAATTCCTGAAAGTTCTATAGTAAAATAACAAAGAATTTCTACAGTAAGTGTTTATTATACATATATCTTATTTGTCAGTAATGTTTGAGTTGGGATCAAATAGAGATCAGAATCCAATAAATAGGAAACGTTTATCAATCTAACAGTTTTCTCTTTTATTAAAGCTTGATCAGAGAATCAGTAATGTTTATTCTTGACTACCAACACTCATTTTGTTACTTTCAATATAGAATTTGAGTGAAGAAATTAGAAAAATTTTAAGCAAAAAAAAGTTACAAAATCCAAGAGCTGAGACATATTTGTTTAATAAATCCTTGTCATAATAAGTTACACAAAAGGTAACTTTTAAATTAATAGCATTACACTCAACTTGTAAGATAATATAAATAGTATTATGATTTAGTTCGGTTTCAGCATTTAATTTGTGTTTGGACACTGAAATCCAATAGGAGAGGAATAATCAGTGGTCGGAAATTAAAACATTGACACACAGCCTGTTTTTCATTCTTAAGGTGCAAAGTAGACTTTTTCAGGTTGTGCAGCTTGTTGTATATTATTTTCTTACCTGTAGCAGTAAATAAATGGAGGCAAGCTTTGATGCTGGGGAAAAGAAATACAGTGAGGGATGGGGTGGGGAAAAGAAATACAGTGAGGGATGGGGTGGGGAAAATTTTGGCAGGAGAAAATGTAATGGCATATTTATTATCTGGAGGGTTCCACACAATGTGCCAAGTAATTTTAAAAATCAACTGTAGCATTTCTTTTGACCATGTTCAAAAGAATTTACAAGTTCTTACTACTTTCCTAATTATGTGTAGGTTTGAGTGGGTGTCTCGCATTGGTATTATTCATTAAAGCAATTAGTTGAAAATCTCTTAATTAGTATTTAATTAGTACAGAGTAATTAATTGCAATTAAACTTCTACAATGGCTGATGATAACCCCATTAAATAGAAATGATTACTAGATTCTGAGGAGGAAAAAAAAAAAATCTAAATTTATTTTTGTCAGTTTGTAAGTGCAACAAATGGCTTTAGCTAAACAAAAGAGAAAAAGTATATCTAAATCTTTAAAAAATTTCTAAATTAGGTACTTCAATCAGGTTAATAACTAAAATATATATATATATATATATATAGGCAAATTTATCTTCTTTGCAAATTACCTGGTAAATTATTTGACAGTCTCATAGAAAGAGCTGAAAAGGTCTGTCATTAATCTAGAATTATTAATCTATTAGAATTATACAATAACCCATACTAAACTTGTATTCCAAAATATGAATATTATAATCATGATGAAGAGAGGAATATTATATTTATGATGAAGAGAAGTGCAATGAGTTATAAACTATTTGAAGCAATTCCATCTAAGGTTTGTTCTAATATGTAAGTTATAGCATAACTATACTGCTGCTCCTTTGCATTGTGGTTAGCAACTAATAGTCAGTTCAATCCTTATTGAGTGCTCAACACCTATACTCTTGTTCCAGACTAGACCAAACTTAAAAATTTATTTCAGAATCTTAGGTTCAAAATTCAGACAGGTTTAGGGTCCAATGTGTATTGTATAAGTTGTTTCCATAATATTTCACAGAGTACTATTTTCTTTTATCTAAACTTATGTTTAGTAAACTTATGTTTAGTAAACTTATTTTACATAGAGTTTATTATAAAAGTTGTAAGAATCCATATATATATATATATATATATATATATATATATATAAAACATAAGTATGTTGTAATTTTTAAATAAATTTTATTCACTACTTTGCATTGAGCACTTTCTAAAACAGTTTTTTTTAGTTACTGGAATTTTATTCTATCTATACCAACCTTGTGTGTGTATGTATATATATATATATATATATATATATAACTTCTAAGGAACTAAGTTATTTTTGGGTGAGGTGCTAGTAGAAATAATTTGCTTTGTTTAAAAAAAACAGGGTGACTACTCAAGCATGGTTATCCACCAAAATAATGTTTGGGATAGTAGGATATATTTCTTATTACTATAAAAAGGTTATTTTTAGTGGGTACATGTTTCAGTTTTACCCATTTTTCTTTTTATTTTATTAAAACAGTGAAATTAATAATAACCGTCCTGAATAAAGAAGTTTTAATGAAGTCAAAAACAGGGATATCAACTCAAATAAAATAAATAGATATCTCAACCAATTTCTACTATTGTAATATAAATTTGCTAAGATCACATCCAATTGACTAATTTTAGTTTAGTCTGACAAAAGCAACCATTACAAACCCCCTCCCTCCCATAGACCCATGAATGATAGTGGAAAGTAGTAGAGGCGATTATTCTAGGACCATTCATACTCAAGGGCCCATGAAAAATAAATATGAAATGAATATATTAGATGACATTAAAATCAGGCTCAATCTTTGCAACTCAGATGGGTGTTGATATATCTCAGATAAGAGAACTAATTTTATATTTTGTCATACTGTGTAGTCTTTAATAACAAAGAAAAATAAAAAAAAATAACATCCCCTACCCAACAATATATGGACCCTGCTTGGGATCCAAGATATGAGGAGATAATAAAAGCAGCCTTGATTCATAGCAAGGTGTCCTAAATATTTACAATATGCTGTCTGTCACAAGTGCAAAGCAATTATCAAGGACAAAGTTTGTTTCATAGAAGCAATGGCGATGCAGCGTCTCCGATGGGGTAGCAATGGCCAATGCAGCGCCCCCGATGGGGTAGCAATGGCCAATGCAGCGTCTCCGATGGGATAGCAATGGCGATACATTTGTATTTCATAATAGTAATGGTGTGAGATTAGTCTGTCAATTATTAACCCACAGAGAACAAACAGTTTCAATCACAAAAGTAATGATAAAGTCAAAACTAATTCATTTTGATTCATTCTTGTCTGTTCCATGACAATTATTACAGTCTCATTTAGGATTATTCTATGTACAGTATCTCTTCAGGGCACTGGTGATCATGGCCCTCCACAACTTCCTGTTCTTAGTAAAGTTTGTCGTTTTTGCTATCTCTACTATTCTGCCAACCATATATGCAAGCTAATTAGGTAGGTTATTTGCTACTTTCTTTCGTCTCTCGCTTTCAATATATCATGTAAGTGTTAAATTTTCCAGACCTCTTTCCTCATTACTTGTTATAAAGGCCAGCACATTGTAGAACATAAACTGTTCTCTTAACAAGCACTTCCCATAAATGTTTCTTTTTAGAAATATTTTATAGGTTAATAAACACTTATGTTAGGGAAAATCTACTTTAAAATCATGAACTGTGGTAAAAATAAATAAATAAATAGGAATCAAAGTAGAGTGTAAATGTTACCAGGGAGTTCTGCAGAGAGTTATGTGGGTGTGGATTTAAAAACTTGTGAAAAGAAGAAAAAAAAAAAAAAAAAAAAAAAAAAAAAGAGAACTTGAAATAATTGTTTTAAATGGACAAAGCAAATTCCTTGCTTTTCAATATAAGGAATCCATGTGGAGGGAATCAAATAAAAAGTAATATTTTTTATTTTATTTTTAATGTGAAGCGAGTCTGGGAATATTCCCATAACTGTTGTAGACATCATGAATATACAAATCAAAAGGAAAAAATAGAAAGGTCACTTTGGTAAATATATAAGATACAGAATAAATATTAATGGCTTTTTTAAAAGTCACTCACTCTCTTCTTTAAACATGAGAAACACCAGCTTAGGAAAAAAGTATTATGATTCATTATTTAAGCGCATGTGTGTGCACACACACACACACACACACACACACACACACACACACACACACTTCTTTCATTAGTTTAGGGATCTAATGAACACTTGAAAAGGTGATGCATAATCAAATCTAGTTTCAATGAAACTTTTTCCATTTCTCAAATTTCATGAAAACTTTGTCAGGATTCTATATCCTATTTTAAACACACACATGCAGAGGATTGTTCCTCACTGTTCAATCCACATACATGAAATGTATGTGGATTGAAAACGTTTCTAATCGTACCTAAAACTGAGTTGCACTAAATGGTGAGAAACAAAATGGATGTTGGGTTCAACAACCAGAATTGACAATCTGTTTCATGCTTAAATGCACTTGTCATGGCCTGACAATTGTGTTTAAGCATGAAACAGTCTCTCAGAGGATAAAACATGTCAGCTAAGATAAGTTTTCTTTTTGTCTTTATTCGTATTGTCTTTTTACAGATATACTCTATCTGAAGCTTTACTTATACAAACACACACATTTTATATATATAAACACACACAGTATATATATAACACACACAGTATATATATATATATATATATATATATAAAAACACAGTGTATATATAACAGACACAGTATATATATATATATACATAACAGACACAGTGTATATATATATATATATATATATATAAAAAAACACACAGTGTATACATAACAGACACAATATATATATATATATATATATATATATATATATATATATACATATATATATATATAAAACACACAGTGTATACATAAATAGACACAGTATATATATATATATATATAAAAAACAGTGTATATATAACACACACAGTATATATTTTACACACACACACAGTATATATATTACACACCCCATGAAAACAAAAACAAAAAAAAAAAACAAACATTTTCCAACTGCTTTGTACTTATAAAATATGAAAAGTTTATTGCTCTGTTTGATTAAGGGTGTGATGGATAAATTGTCGTCTAAATGATGTAAAAATTAAAATGACACTGACTCCTCATTTTAACAGATATATGTACCAAAATTAAAGAAAAACACAATCTTCTAATAGGAGTAAATTTATTCAATAAAAATGGCGACAACCATGGCCCCCAGATGATTTTGGAATCTCCTGCATCTCTTCTGGACAATCTCTTTGTTTATATTTCTGAGATGAGGTATTATATGAACTATTTACATTGTTTGGACTATCTTCCTCACCTTTGTTGCCATATTTATCACAACGTTTCAGCTGTTGTACACGCCAGCCTTCTTCAGGTGGTTGGAATGTCGAACTGAACTCTTTATTTTGCTTGCTGGGACAGACTGTTCTAGTTCCACATGTCATGTCTAATGGATGCCAGTTGTCAGTTATCCCATGTTAATTCATGTTGCCAAGTTCTCCACTGCCCTAACCAGGTTAGTTAGATCCAGTGACAGGACCCAAAGAGTGTGAGTTCAATACATGGTTACATGTAAATAGTCTCTTTTGTCTAATTTGGTGAATGCTGCCATAATCCTTGCCTTCAGTTCATCTTTAGTGCTACAAGGAGTTTTGTTAGTCCCTCTCTCTTAACTGTGCCCCACAAATAATAATCAAGATGGTCACAGTCTGAGAAGTTAGGTGACCTGATGTAAGGGGTGATGTGGTCATTGAAATTTTATGAGAGCCATGGTTGGGTTCTTCTGCTTGTGTGGCATTGTGCAGAGTCTTGTTGCCAGACAGTATCTTCCAACAGCCACACTCTTGACCCAGGGTAGCACTAACTCTTCAAGGCACTTGATGTTGGCCTTAGTGTTGACCGAGGTCCTGAGGGAAGATTAATGGAGGCATAACATCGCCATCACTAGTGATCACTTCAAACACCATGATGTTGAATGGATATTTAATTTTTATCACTCTTGGTACATCTTTGGGAGGGGGGGAAGCATCCTCTACACTGTCCTACGATTG